CGCCGAGCATCTCCCACTGCTCTGTGGTCCCTCTTCCCAGACGTGGGTCCTCCTCCTGTCACTGCAACTTCCCCGGCGTCGCTCAACCCCATGGCGCGGCGCGCGCTTCACTGCTTCGCTGCCCCCCATGCGCCTCGCGTGGTATTTGGGGCCACTGAGCCCGACCCCCCCCACTGTTACTCTGGAACCTCCGTTAGGACCCTGCTTCCCACGGATACCCTGCCCTGGCACCCCGGGTCTAGTCTCTCGTTCCCTGGTGTCCTCACGGCGACTTGACGTTTTTGGTCTTGCACTGCGGGGCCGGTGCCCCTCTTCGTAGCGATCCGAACGTGCTCGGCCAGAGGCTGCTGCCACCCTGCCTTCCGTCACCGGGACTGTGGCTCCCACTTCCCCCAGGAGCGCTTCATCCACATTATCCCCCTGGGACTCCCTCATGGGTCTCCCAGGAGGCTCAGGCACCAGCAGGAAGGGAGCTTGGCCAGGTCCCTATGCTGCCCTCCCAGGAGGCCCTGGATCTGCCACCACTCCTCTCCTTCCCGCTGGGCCAGCCTCCAAGCCTGGGGCTCTTGGGGGTGGGGAGGCGGGGCAGTGCTACAGGACTGGCTTGTCCTCTGGGGGGAGGCCATAGCCCTTCGCTCCTTCCTGCAGGTGTCCTGAGTCTCCCCCGCCCATCCTAGGTGAGGGCCCGGCTGCTCCGGAGGCCCTGCAGTCTCTGAGCCGGAGGCTCCAGGTGCAGGAGGAGGAGATGGAGCTGGTGAAGGCGGCGCTGGCGGAGGCCCTCCGCCTGCTGCGCCTACAGACGCCCCCTGCCACCCTGCAGGGCACTGTGGCCCCCGCCCCCGGCCCCGCCCCCGCCCTGGGCAGGTAAGCCCGGCATTCCACGCCCTGCCTCTTCCTTCTTGGGGGCCTCTGGCTGACTCACGGTTTCTCCCGCAGCCCTGCAGCGCCCCCGGGACTGCCACCCACATGCAGCCCCTCCTTGGTGAGCCGAGGCACCCAGACGGAGCCGGAGATGGAGTCACCGTCCCCCGGACCCCTGGGCCTGAGCAACGGGCCCCAGGCCCTTCAAGGGGGCATCGAAGAGTCTGGCGGGACCCAGTTTGAAGGCGGGGGCAGCAGCAGCAGTGGTGCCGGCTCCCCAGGTCCCCCCGGGGTCCTCAAGCCTGTGCAGTCCCCGCTGTGTGCTGACACGTAGGCGTCCTGTGGTTGAAGCCGGCGGGAGAGCTGGAGAATAGGGTCGGCCCAGGAGGAGGAGTGACCCTCACCCCTCTCTGTGCTGCCACCCAGGCCTCGGAGAAATTCCTCCTCCTCGTCCCCCTCTGAACGGCCCCGCCAGAAACTCTCCCGGAAGGCCGCCTCCTCCGCCAACCTGTTACTGCGGTCGGGGAGTACTGAGAGGTGGGCGCGGCTCCCCCATGCCCCGCCCTGCCCCGGGGTGCTCAGGCAGGCTTTCCTCAGCCCTCCCCTCCCTTACCTGGGCGGCTTTGGGGCTGCAGTTGCCCAACAGGGAAGAATGCCGCAAGCCCTCTTGGGGGACCTGCTGGGTACCGCACTGTGCCAAACACTGGACCTCCTTCTCAGTGCCCACCAGGTCCATGGGGGGGGAGGTGTTGTGCGGGGGATGGGGGTGTTTCATTAGGGGAGGAAGCGGTTCAGAGAGGACAAGTCACTTGCCTGGGGTCACACAGCTAGCTAGGATTTGACTCCAGGTCTTTCTGACGGGTTCCCATGCCTTTCCCACTGCCCCAGCCTACTTTCCTGGATCCCAAGGGGCTTTTCATCCTCAGCGCTCAGCTCCCCCCGTTGAGCAGGTTTTCCTTCTCAAAGGCCAGGCGGAATCCTCTCCTGGCAGAGGGTTGTCACGGAGGGCGCAGGCCCCGGGCGTGTACGGTAGCCCTACCCCATTGTGCCTTATCTTCTGAAGAATCACCTTATCTTCAGTGGGTGATGGCTGGCAGCCTGTGAGCTTCACCTGCCACCTTTCTCCTGAGAGATGGAGACTGGCTCGCTTCCCCACTTGTTTCCCCTGAGGCGGGGCTGGTGAGCCTTCTGTACTTACTGGGCCCCCATTTCAGAGGGAAAGGAGGCGCTTGGTAGGCTGGTGGCCCAGTACTCAGGAGGAAGAGGCTGTGAACCCAGAGTTCCCCCCACCCCCTGTGAGCTGGGAGCATTTGGCCCTTGGACCCCAATCGTCTCATCTCTTAAATGGGGTGAAAAGGCCTCACCTATCTCTGGGGCCCTGAACACACACATTGCCAACTGAAAGCCTGGGGTGGCTGGAGTGGCCGCTTTTCTTAGGTCCTGCCTTGCCCGCCTCAGGTCTGATCCCACCTCTTCTGTTCTTTTCCCAGCAGCCGAGGGGGCAAAGATCCCCTCTCCAGCCCCGGGGGCCCTGGATCTAGGAGAAGCAATTATAATTTAGGTATGTAAAGAAGAACAAGGGGAGAGCAAACTGGTGTTTGGGTTGCAGTGAAGGGGTGAGCTCTTTCAGGGGACCTGTGAGATATGGAAATGAGCCCTGGCAGCCCCGTTGGGTAAGGTTAGCCTGCTAACTGCCAGGGCAAGGGTTGAAACCCACCAGACTCCTAGAGAAAGATGAGGCATTCTGCCCAGGAAAGACCTAGGGTCTCTTGGAAACCCCTAGGGGCAGTTCTACTCCGTCCTAAGAGGTCGAGATGCATCAGAATCGAGTTGATGGCAAGGGGATTGGGATGCGGTGCAGAAGGTCTGTGGGAGGCACTCACAGTTTGCACCTGATCACTAATCTAGGGGTTGGGAGTTCAAAGCTACCAGTTGGCCCTGCGGAAGACCGCCTGGTGATCTGCCTTTGTATAGATGACTTCCCTGAAGTCCCTCTGGGGCAGTTCTACACGGCCACACAGGGGTCACACAGGATCCACTCAATAGTTAACTGTGTATGTGTGAATTGTGGTTAGGGGACTGTGGGCTCCCCCCCCCCCCATTTTTTTCTCCATAGAAGGCATCTCGGTGAAGATGTTCCTGCGAGGCCGCCCTATTACTATGTATATCCCATCTGGCATCCGCAGCCTGGAGGAACTGCCCATTGGCCCACCGCCAGAGACCCTCAGCCTGGACTGGGTGTATCCTGTACCTTCGCGATCTGGGACCCATCTTTTATCACCTTGCCCTTTCTTTAGGGTTCCGAGGGGCAGGGTGTGTGTGTGTTGGGGGGGCCGGGGACTCTGGTTATCATCGTCCCCTACCAACCTCTGCCAATGGCAGTGCCGGCCCAGAGCGCCAGCCTTCTTCCCTTTCCTTGACGGGCTCCCAACTCTAGATACGGGTACAGGGGTCGGGACTCCCGCTCCAACCTGTTTGTGCTGCGCTCTGGTGAGGTGGTCTACTTTATTGCCTGTGTGGTGGTGCTCTACCGGCCCGGGGGAGGCCCCGGGGGCCCTGGAGGAGGCGGTCAGCGGCATTACCGGGGCCATTCAGACTGCGTGCGATGGTGAGGCGTGTCAGGATGGGAGGTGGTGGGCATAGGAGTTCTGGAGGAGCTGGGGAGAAGTTGCCTTGCCCTCTGTAAATGTGGGAAAGGTGTTTTGGGGGGTCCTGAGACCCCCTTCCCTAGCATGCATCCTCCTCCGCTTAGCCTTGCTGTTCACCCTGACGGGGTCCGTGTCGCCTCAGGACAGATGGCGGGAGTAGATAAGGATGGGAAGGTAAGGACCCAGCATCGGGCCACTGTAGGTGCATCCCAGAGACTGCCCTGCCTGGCTCGTCCTCCTTACCCCGCACCTTTGCCCATCCAGCCCCTGCAGCCTGTGGTACACGTCTGGGACTCGGGGACACTGGTGAAGCTGCAGGAGATTGGATTGGGGGCCTTCGAGCGGGGCGTGGGGGCCCTGGCTTTTTCCATTGTGGTGAGCTGGCTCTAGAGCCTTTAGACACCCCGTCTTCCTTGCCCAATGACCCCCCTCTTGCACATCACCAGGCGGGGCCTGGGAAACCCTGTCCTGCCTGAACCTCTGTGTTGATGCTTGCCCTCTGGGCCTGGGCTGGCCAACTGGGCTAGTGACCCGGAGCCCCCAGGGCCTCATCCTGCCTGCACTGGGTCCCGTCCTCAGGACCGAGGTGCCTTCCTCTGTGTGGTGGATGATTCCAACGAGCACATGCTGTCGGTGTGGGACTGCAGCCGAGGCACCAAGCTGGCGGAGATCAAGGTGGGGAGGCCGCTGGGGGTCCGGTGTGATTAGAGGGTGCCCTCGGCTCAGGCTGGCTGAATTGTGCTGTCCTTTCAGAGTACAAACGACTCTGTTCTGGCTGTTGGCTTCAGCCCTCGGGACAGCAGCTGCATCGTCACCAGCGGGAAGTCTCACGTCCACTTCTGGAACTGGAGTGGGGCAGCAGGGGTTCCTGGGAATGGCACTCTCACCCGGAAACAGGGCGTCTTTGGGGTGAGGCGTGGGGGTGGGGAGGGCAGGATGGTGCTGGCAGTGTTGGAGCGAGTGCTGCCAGAGACCCGCTGGGCTGCCCTGTGACTCTTTGCCTCTCCCTTGCCCGCTCTCTGCTCCCCGTTCCAGAAATACAAGAAACCCAAGTTCATCCCTTGCTTTGTGTTCCTCCCTGATGGAGACATTCTGACTGGGGACTCAGAGGGGAACATTCTGACCTGGGGGCGGAGCCTCTCGGATTCCAAGACCCCAGGCCGGGGTGGGGCCAAAGGTATGAGATTGGGGTGGCACCTGGGAAGTCCTGTGCTGCTGAAGGACCCAGAGGGACAGACAGAGAGAATGTCCCGTGTATTTTTTTATCTTGAGCTTTGATCGTTCTGTGTGAGACCTCCTGGGAGGACTCTTGGGGACTTGGCTAGTCCGAGGGTGGCGGTGGAGACCCAGGGGCAGGAATGGGACTCTGGCATCTGTCAGTTACTGGGTTCAGATCCCGGGTCTGCTATTAGGCATCTGCTGAACTTCTTTGAGCCTCAGTTGTCCTGCCTGTATACTGGGAGGGCAATAGCCACGTAAGGTCAGAGTTGGCATTCACTCTCGGCAGATGACATTTAGGGCCTTGTGGTGTGAGCGCCCTGCTTGTCCCTGCTCCCAAGAGCATCACCTACCTGTGGCTTTGCCAACAGAGACCTATGGGATCGTGGCCCAGGAGCACGCGCACGAGGGCTCCATCTTCGCCTTGTGTCTTCTTCGGGACGGGACAGTGCTGAGTGGTGGCGGGCGGGACCGCCGACTAGTCCAGTGGGGGCCTGGTTTGGAGGCCCTCCAGGAGGCTGAGGTGAAGGCTGGGCTGGGGGTCCAGGAAGCAGGGCTGGGCAGGAGGGCTGACCCCCCGGGTGCTGACCCCCTGCCACCCCTTTCTGCAGATTCCTGAACACTTTGGGGCTGTGAGGGCCATAGCGGAGGGGCCTGGCTCCGAGCTGCTGGTCGGGACCACCAAGAATGCACTGCTGAGGGGGGATCTGGCTCAGGGCTTCACTCCTGTTATCCAGGTTTGGGGGGGGGGCTAAGGGCTCAGAGGATTCGGGAGGAAGAGGGGGGCTGTTGGGAAAGGGTCAAGATGGCAGCCCCTTGCCCTGCTGCAGGGCCACACGGACGAGCTCTGGGGGCTCTGCACGCATCCCTCCCAGAACCGCTTCCTCACCTGTGGCCATGACCGGCAGCTCTGCCTGTGGGATGGGGAGGGCCATGCCCTGGCCTGGAGCATCGATCTCAAGGTAGGGTCCTACCCCAGCGTTCTGTGAGGCCACTCATTCCCCAAGGGCCTGTCCCTCTGCACCTGGGGGAAGCTTGGGCAGGTACAACTGACCTGACATTAGGGAATTCGTTCTTCTGTGGTGGTTGGGAGGGGCCCTGGTGGGGTAGTGGTTACACATTGGGCTGGTAACTGCAGGGCCTGCAGTTCAAAACCACCACCAGGCTAGCCAGTCCTGTGGACAATTTCAGAAACCCACTGGGGGTCCCTGTGAGTCAGCACTGATTTGAGGGCAGTGCATTTGGTTTGGATTGGTGGTTGGTACAAACCTGTCTCCAGTGCCCTGGCTTCTTCTTCACAGACCTCCCCTTGATCCAGCAGCTATGAGGTTAAGGTCTGGCACAGCCAGTGAGCAGTCAGGCCTGATATTTTGAGTTATCGCCCCATGCTTAGGTTCAGTGCCATCCCTGTCCCATCCTGAGATTTTCTTGTCTACCCCCCACATCTCTATTTCTTCTCGGCGACAGCTCTTGACGAGTTGTCCATGGGGTCCCCTCACTCAAAAGGCAACTTCCTGCATTCACCTTCTCTCCTTCCCCCCAGGAGACGGGCCTCTGTGCCGACTTCCATCCCAGTGGGGCAGTTGTGGCTGTGGGACTGCACACGGGGAGGTGAGAGGGAACAGAGCCACCTGGGAGGAGGGGGAGACCCAGAAGGACCACCACCACTTTCTGCTCCCCAGCCCCGGAGCACCCTTCCACTGTTCAGTCTGTCTGTCTTCCCACAGCCGGACCTCCCCTGCTCTCTCCTCCAGGCTTAGGGTTTTGAAGCCGGGGAGTACTCGGAGTGGGCCCCTGGTTTATGCTTCCTGACTCCTTTCTGAGTACCCTGGCCCTTTCCCACCTGCTGTGGTGGCTCCCTCAGCCTTGCTGTGGGCGTCTCTGAGGGTCCCCGGGCATCTCCACACTCTCGGCCATTCCCCTCCCCCACCTTCCTCCCAGGTGGTTAGTTCTGGACACGGAGACCAGAGACATCATGTCGGACATCACTGATGGCAATGAGCAGCTCTCGGTGGTACGGTACAGCCCAGGTGAGAGCCGCCCCGCCATGGGCCCCGCCGGGCCCCTGCCTGGCCCTGCCCTCAGTTGAGTGACTTGTCTTTGCAGATGGGATGTACCTGGCCATCGGTTCCCATGACAACATGATCTACATCTATAGCATTTCCGGCGATGGTGCTAAGTCCAGCCGCTTTGGCCGCTGTGTGGTGAGGAAGCTGGGCTCCAAGGGTGATGGGGAGGCTGCCACAGCAGACTGACATGCAGTGGTCTGAGGCTGAAGGGGGCTCTGGGGACAGGGAAGCGGTGGCTGTGTCTTTAACCTCTTGACCCTTGCCCGCAGGGTCACTCCAGCTTCATCACTCATCTTGACTGGTCCAAGGATGGGAACTTCATCATGTCCAATTCTGGGGACTACGAAATTCTTTACTGTGAGGGGCGGTGGGGGAGGAGTGTGGGGAGAGACCAGGGTGGGTGTTACCTGCTGGTGGCAGGGGTGGGAGTGGGGTGGGGGGGGGGGGGGACTATCCCTGTTTGGGAGAGGATGAAGAGAGAATGGGTGGGGAGCCCCCCCACCGGACAGAGGGGCCGTCAGACCTGGAGGTGGAGATGAGATTGTGGTGGGGACTGTCGCCTACTCATGGCTGGGACGAACAGTTTTACACTCTGCCTTGTTTCCACAAGGACCTGAGGGCTTTCAGGAATGCACCAAGAAAAGATTATTGGTGGGGGTGGGGGTAGTGGAGGGGGTGTCAGTTCTCCCGGCAGGTGTGGAGTGTTAATTATCTAGGAAGGAGAAGCTGGGGGCTGGGGTGGCCAGGTGGCTACCATGGTAATCACACCTAGCCACCACCTCCAGCTGGTCTTCCTAACCCGGAGGTCTACCCATCAACCTGGCTGGGGGCAGGAGACTGAGCTAGGCGCCCCCCTCTCCTCAGGGGATGTGGCGGCCGGCTGCAAGTTGTTGCGGAATCGCTATGAGAGCCGAGACCGGGAGTGGGCCACCTACACCTGCGTGCTGGGCTTCCACGTCTACGGTGAGCCTGGGGGGAGGCCTGCCCCTGGGGGTCTATCTTGCTTGGGAGGCCTGTGGGTCTGGCCTGGGCTGCCTGGGACGCCGCCGGCGGGTGGCCAGGGCGCTAGAGGTACTGCGTTGGGCAGTGGGCCGGGGTGGCCGGGCTGAGGCCAGCCTCTGTGCTAGGCGTGTGGCCCGACGGCTCCGACGGGACGGACATCAACTCCCTGTGCCGTTCCCACAACGAGCGCGTGGTGGCCGTGGCCGACGACTTCTGTAAAGTGCACCTCTTCCAGTACCCGTGCGCGCGCGCCAAGGTAAGGCGGCAGCCCCGGGGGTCGGCGTCGGGCCGGCGCTGCCATTGCAGCGGCGGCGGCGGCCAGTGCCACTATCGGACGTCCTTAGGCGCCGAGCCGCATCTACTCTGGCCACGGCAGCCACGTCACCAGCGTCCGCTTCACGCACGACGACTCGCATCTCGTCTCCCTGGGCGGCAAGGACGCCAGCATCTTTCAGTGGCGCGTGCTGGGCGCCGGGGGCGCGGCGCTGGCGCCCGCCACGCCCTCTCGAACCCCGTCCCTGTCCCCGGCCTCCTCTCTGGACGTCTGATCGCGGCCGGATAGAGGTGACCAGCTCTCGGTGCGCGCTCGCGCGCCCTCCCTTCCTGGGGACCTGGGGCCGAGCCTTCCCTCGACTTCGAGACATTCCAGAGTGTCCCTGGAGGGGCCGACGCCCGCAGACACTGTACAGACCCGCTGGCCGAGGCCCCCCGGCTCCGGCTCCGACAGCCGCCGCCTGCTGAAGGGCAATAAAGGAAAACCAAAGTGCCTTCGCGGTCCTTTTCTGTGGGGCGTGGCTAGGCGCCTCCGGGGCCCCGTGGGGGAGGAGGGGCGGGCGGAGAGGGTGCAGGGGCGTAGCCCGTGTATGCAAATAAAAGGCAAAGCCGCAAGCAAATAACCGCGTGAAGAGCGAAGCCGCGCCGGCCAATCAGGGCCACACCGCAGAGCTCCAGCGCGGAGAGAGTTAAGCCCAGTTCCTCTCCCGCCTTCGGAGGCGTGGCCGAGCGACAACGGAAATCACCGAGCCCGGGCCGTGGTTGGGCGGAAAGAACCGAACCACTTCCGGAAGTTGCCGAGCGGCGGGGTCTCGCTCTCCGACCCGAGCCGATCGCTGGGCCTTGTTCTCCCGATCGGCCGAAGGTGTTCCGGAAGAAGGCGAACCCTGAGACGGGCCCGGCAAGCCTTCCGGGCGGCCGGCGGGGCCCAGCGACTGG